CGGAGGACCTTCCTGGTGCCCGAGATCAAGTCGCTGGACCAGTACGATTTCTCGCGGGCCAAGGCTGCTGCGAGCTTGGCGTGGGTGCTGCGGGCCGCATTCGGGGGCGCAGGTACCCGGCCGGGGGACGGCGGGCCGGACGTGGCAGGTGCGGGGGGCGGGGCGCCCGGCCCGGGAGGCCAGGGCCGTGGGAACAATAGCCCTGGTCGCGAGGGGTCCCCGGGCCCCGGCCCGCTGCTCCGGGCCTCAGAGCTTCCTGTTCGGCCCGGGCGGTGGACTTTGCCCACTGGGCTGCGGGAGCGCGATGGGGGTGGGGCGCCAGCACAGCTCCCCTTGGGGACCCTGGCGTCCCGAGTCCCAGGTGAGCGGGGCGGGATCTGCGGGTCGGGTGGGGTCGACGGGTGCCGGCCTTTGGGACCCGCCTCCCACACCCCCTAGCCTGGCTTTGCACGCCCTCCTCTCTTTACACACATCATGCGCCCTCGATGACCCCCTCCCCACTGTCCTCGGCCTCCCGCGGGGCCGTAAGCTCTGGGGTCCACAGCTCTGCACGCTCCCCGGCAGGACACACGCCCCGCGTCGGCCCTGCGTGCGCTGTGGGCGGCAGGGCGAGCTCTGGGAGCCCCCTGCCTCCACCGCCCGGCCTGCGGCTGGCAGCTGTGACTTATTGCCCCATTTACCAGGGAGGCAGGCGAGCCCTGTAACGCGAAATGGTTTGTCCAGGGTTGCCCCGGGTGGGGGCCTCCGCCTTAGGGCCTTCTCCCTTTAGGACATTCCCCAGGCTTGCATATCTAAATAACCTAGGCCACCCCTACGGGGAAAATGCGGGTGGGTCCTCTGGATGAGAAGCTCTGGGCTCACTGTCTTGATTTTGGGCAGCTCCAGCGCCCTAGACCAGAGCTGGGAGCAAGGGCCTGGCCTTGGGGACTACAGGGGTTAATTAAGGTCTGGGCCTTCCGGGGAGCGGTGGGGGGACGCCCTGCCTTCCCACTGGTCCTGCCTACTGGTCTTGGCACTGGCTGGGCACAGCCCATCCCCCTTCTCAGTGGCCTTCCCAGACCAACCTGTTCTGGGTGTGGGTCTCAGTGACAGCTATCCCTCTCCTGCTTCCGCTCCAGCCTGTCCCTTCCACTTTCCCCTAGTATCCTTCCATGCATGACCCACTCTGAGGCCTGCCTACCCCCAGGGGTTTACTAGAGGAAGAAAGGATTGAGGATTGGGACCCGGGACTGCCTAGCCCCTCACATCCAAGGTTATGAGGCTGTAGAAAGCTTAACTTTGCAAGTCAGAATCGAGTTTGAGTGGCAGCTTCTGTAGGATGGGGAGGAATTATCTCAGTTCTGAGCTTCTGTGTCCCTCTCTGTAAAGGAAGGCTTTCATGGACTTATTTATCTATGTCTGAAAGTGTTTGTGGGTACACACATGTGGCAGGACAGCCTACTGGGGATTGAGACCCCGTACCTTTTGGGCAAGGTTGCTGGGAGGCATCAAAGAGGTACTGACTGAGGGATCACATCGGTGTTTGGCAACTGGTACGTGCTAAATGGTTTCTGTTGGTTCTGGTGTGATTGGAAAGGTGATTTTTATTAATACTATGAATATCATTCATTGTTCCTTGGCCAGGAGACAGAACAGTGGTTACTATCCCATTTCACAGAATAGAGAGCAGATCCTCCTGTGGGGGTTGTTAAGGTCCTGATGCTCTGACTCACCCTGCTGTATTCTGACCCAGCTCCCTCTGCTGTGTAACACCCTCCGGTGGCTGCCACTACCCTGAGGGTCAAGTTCAGCCTCTTTCCTATCCATCTCCCTGAAATGGAGGGGAGCAGAGCGCTCTGGATTCATGAACTCGGCGACTCTACCAGGGCTTGTCAGGTGCCTGCCGGTGCTGGGTGCTCAGGATGTGGAGTACAGGGGAGGGATACAGGAGAGGGGGGATGGGATGAAACCGGATCGTAGCTGCTTAGAGTGATAAGCTCCACGGTGTGATGCTTGGGGGGAGGAAATCCCTCAAATCTTCCTGGGAGGGAGGGAGAAGGGAAGGATCCCCAGAGGAGGAGGAGCTTGAGTCTTGAAGGATGTGTAGGAGTTTGCCAGGGGAAGGAGTCTCTGTAAAGCAGGGGGTGTGGATGGGCAAGGAGTTCTCGGAGAAGAACGCACAGGTCCCAGCAGTGGGTGGGGGGGAGGCTGGAGATGAGGGAGACTCTGAGACTTCAGGAGGTGGGGATCTGAGGACAGTGGGGAGCCATAGCAGGTGTTTGGGAACTGACAAGATCAGACTTGCCGTTGCCCAATGGGGCTTGAGGCTGGGGAAGGAATGGTTCTGATGGCCCTGAGGTACAGAACGAGAGGCTTCTGCAGGAATGCAGGCAGATGGCCTCAGCAGAGCACACACTTGGAGATAAGAAAGTTTCTATGTTAAATAAGTCTGGGAAATCAGAACATCAGTAAGATATGCGAGGGAAGCAGTTTCTGTGGGTTCTGCAGTTTACTAGCTGTGCCATCTTGGACAAGTTAATTCAGCTCTCTGGATCTCGGTTTTCTCATCTGAACCATGGTGTAAGGAAAGTGTCAGGATGGATTGAAGGGCACAATATACATAAACACTGTGCCCCAGAGCTTTGCTGTCCAGTAGGTTAGCCACTAGCCCCAAATGCTTGTGAGAGCACCTGCAGTGTGGCTGGTTGAATCCAGATGTGTTGTCAGGTAAACTAGACACTGGATCCAACTTGGTACAAAAAAAAAAAAAGTGAAATATCTCATAATGGTCTTATATTGATTACATGTTGAAATAATCATGTTTTGAATACATATTGGGTTGAATAAACTACACTATTAATGTTCCTTGTTTCTAATTTTTCAACATAGCTACTAGAAAACTTCATAAAACTACTTATGTGGCTCCCATTGTATTTCCATGGGACAGCTCTGCTCTGCAGTAGATGCTCAATAAACATTTTGTGGCATAGGGCAGTGTTTCTCAGCTTGTGATGTTTTGGTCTTTAGAAGACACTTGGCAGTGTCTGGAGACATTTTTGGTTGTCACTACCTGGGAGGAAGGTGCTGCTGGCATCTAGTTAGAGACCAGGGATTTTGTTAAAATCCTAAAATGCACATGACAGCCATTCCCACAACACAAATAGGGTCAAGGAAGACACTGGTACAGAGGGAATGCTTGCTTGAGAAACTTTGGCAATCAGTAGCTTAGCTCACTTGTTTTTTTTTGTTTTTTTGTTTTTATTTTTTTTAATCATCTTGAAGGTTGAAGGCCCTGAGAAAAGTCTTAGGGGAAAGAAACTTGTTACATTTTGCTGGTGGGAGCAGGAAGTGCACTGGGCTGATCTCAGGGTCTGGGGAGATAGGAGGGTTTGGATTTGGGAGATGTCAGAGGGTTGAACTAGAGGACTGATTGGATGTGAGTGGGGATAAAGAAGGAGCCCACGCAGTGGTGCCCGCCTATAATCCCAGTGACTCAGGAGACTGAGACAGAAGGATTTCAAGTTTGAGGCCAGCCTCAGCAATTTAGTGACTCTGTCTCAAAAAATAAAATGGACTGGGGATGTAGCTAAGAGGCAGAGCTTCAACCCCTGGGGGTGGGGTGGGGTGGGGAAGGTGGGTGCACTGGTGCCTGTCTGTAGTCCCAGATACCTGGGAGGCAGAGATAGGAGGACTGCAACTTCAAATCCAGCCTCAGCAATTAGCAAGATCCTGTCTCAAAATTTAAAAAGGGCTGGAGATAGAGCTCAGTGGTAGAGTGCTTGCCTAGCATGCACGAGGCCCTGGTTCCATTCCCAGCACTGCAAGGAGGAGGAGAAAGAAAAAAAAAGAAAAAAAAAAGGAATGGTGATTTGTCACTGTGATGGGGACAGGGAGGAGCAGGAGGTTTGGAGCAAGATGTTGAGGATAATGAAAGATCCTTGGTGGTGGTGGGGGAGTGGAACCCAGAGCCTGGGCAGCAGCAGGTAACAATCCTCAGATATATGGAAGCAGTCAAGGGGTGAGGTGAGGCATGTCCGGGTATACGGAGACCCCAGGGGGAAGGAGGTGGTGCTGGGCAGAGAGCCCAGGCGCATACAGGCCCCAGATGTGTGGCGGGGAGGCTGGAAACCTGAGGGCAGAAGCCAGGTCCAGGGGGTTGAATCGGCAGGGAAGGGGCAGGGGGCAGAGGGAGGAGGAAGTGAGAAATCCCTCTTGTGTCAGGAGGCTGGAGAAGGATGGCTCTACACAGGGGTGGGGCTTAAGTGGGAAGGTCAAGTGCAGGTTCAAGAGGTGGGAAAGTAGCCATGGCAGGAAGGGAGTTCTGTCAAGGATGCCTGGGTCCTTGCACTGGCTACAAAAGAGATGTGCTGCCTGGAACAGCAGCATGGGCAGTGTCCCCATGTTGACCGCGGTCATCTCCTCCCGACTCCCCACATCTGCCAGGCTTTCTCCTCTCCACCCTTGAGCCTATGCCGACTTCTTCCCCCTACCTAGGATTCTGGTGGCCACCTCTGACATGACCCCGCCGCTCCTCTAGGCTCCATCCCATCATGTTCTCTGCTCCAGGGTGTCCCTAAGGCCCTCACACTCTGCTTTTACCCTCTCACCGGCTGTCCCTCCTGTTCCCCTCTCAGCCACTGATCCCATTGCCCCTCTCTCTTCCCCCAGGCCCCTTGGAGCCCTAGATGCCTCCTCCTCTTCCCCTCCGCCTCTTTTTAGTTACCAAGTTCAGTTCCCTGGAAGCTCTGACCTCTGTCACCTCCCACTTTCCATGCCCTGCCCCCACCTCACACCTCACCCTGCCCAGCCACCAAGCTGGGTGTGGGTTTGCTTCTCAGTCTGGCATTGGAGAGCTGTGTGGCCCTGGGCGGGTTACTTTCCTTCTCTGTGCCTGCTCTGTAAGGCGCCCTGGCTGCTTCCTAGGGTTGAGAAGGGCTTTTGTGAAGCCAGCACCCGGTGCGCACGGGTAGGTTTCTGCGATTGGGCTGCCAGGGTCTTGTCTTTCCCTGTGGCCTCCCCTCGCTGTCCCACAGCCCACCGTCTCTGTGAGGCACTGTCCTTCCTCCCAGCCTCTGGCCTGTGCCAGCGCAGCCCTCTCTGCCGGCGCAGGACCCTCATTCCTTAAACGGCTCGCATTCCTTCCTTTCCGCTAGGTTCCTAGATCGCCCTCTTAGTCGGGGCCCTGTCACTTGAGTGGTGTCTGTGGCCCTGACTCCCGGCATGCCCCTCCCACATGCCCCTGCAGAGCACGTGCCCCCGGAGCTGTGGGAGCCCTTCTATACTGACCAGTACGCGCAGGAGCACGTGAAGCCCCCGGTGACGCGGCTGCTCCTCTCGGCCGAGCTCTACTGCCGGGCCTGGCGCCAGGCGCTGCCGCAGCTCGAGACACCTCCTAGCCCCTCTGCACTGCTGGCCCTGCTGGCACGGAGGGGCACAGTGCCAGCACTGCCCGAGCGCCCTGTGCGCGAGGCTGACCTGAGACACCAGCCCATTCTCATGGTAGGCTCCGCCCCTGCCCAGTGGGTCCTTCCCGCCAGGCCTGGTTCCTTCCCTGAACCCCAAGTCCTGGGGCCCACCTTCCTCCAAGGCCTTTCCACCAGGCCTAGCCCTCACCTCGGGCCCCACCCACCAAACCTAGCTGTTCTCTTAAAGCTCCACCCATCGGGTAGCTCCTCCCACAAAGCCCCACCCACCAGGGTAGCTCCTCCTCACGAAGCTCCACCCATCAGGCTGGCTTTTCCTGCCAAGCCTTGCCCCGCCCCTCACCCCTCCTACCAGGCCTGGCTCCGCCCCCCGACACACTTCTGGCCCCAAAGCTTCCCTGCACGGCCAGGCCCGCTCTGTGCTGAGGCCTAGGTCTGATGTCAAGGCCTGGCCCATTTTGAGTGGTTCTTCCAGGACCACAGCCCGCAAGGACCCGCACCAACCCCGCCCCAGGCCCGTTGATCCCCTCCTACTTCACCCCCCTTCCGCCTCTAGCTTCTAGCCAAGGGAGCCCCCACCCTACCTTCTGGTCTCATTCTTTAGCCCTTACCCCCACAGGGAGCCCATCTAGCTGTTATTGATGCCCTCATGGTTGCCTTCTCCTTCGAGTGGACCAAGACGCTGCCTGGTCCTTTGGCTCTGACCAGCTTGGAGCACAAGCTTCTTTTCTGGGTGGACACGGTAGGTGGGGTTGGGCCAGGATGGGTGGGGACCAGGACCATCCTGCGAGCAGAGCTCTGAACTTCTTCTTGGCCCCCAGACTGTCAGGAGGCTGCAGGAAAAGACAGAGCAAGAAGCGGCCCAGCGTGCATCTCCTGCTGCCCCTGCAGATGGGGCAGCCCCGGTGCAGCCCTCGGTGAGGCCAGGGCAGTGCATGCCTGAAGGATGATGGATGGTTGGCTGCCAGAGGGCTGGGTGGTCAGGACCAGGTTGGGGGTGGCTGGAGGTGACTCTCTCTTTCCCTCTCTTTCTCTCTCTCTCTCTCCTCTCCCCTGCACCGGCCCCTGCTGTACCCCTCTCTGCCCCTCAGTGCCCCACGCGCTGGTATTGGAAGCTGGTTCCTGTAAGTGGGGCTGTCTGTCCGCCCCGTCTGCCTGCCCTGCTGTTGCTGTCTGTGTGTTCAGTTCTGCCTGCTTGTGTGCATCCTCTTCTCTTCCACTAGCTGTGAGCAAAGGGGGTGGGGCTGGGGAGGACCCCCCAGTGAACCAAGGGAAGGGTACAGTCTTAATTATTACCCGAGAGGGCCAGCCCACCTGGGGAACTGGCAGTCGGTGAGCTTCCCGTTAGTCACCAGGGCAAACCTCTGCCACTAACTAAGAGGGCAGACCCCTGTTGTTAGTTGAAGTGGGGGGAACCCCAATCCATCAGCTGCATGGATCCTGACCCCAGTGGGCAGGACACACGGGGGATCTCCCCAGCCAACAAGAAGAGCCTTAAACCTTCCTAACCAAGGCACTCAGTTTCCCTAAGGAAAAAATCCCGGCTTTGAGAGGAGGCCCATTTCTTGAAGCTTGACATTTGAATCTCTCTTCCCTAATTAGCTGTGTGACCTCGCACAAGCATTTAAACCTCTCTGTTTCATGGAATTTGTCTTTGCAACAGATAGACAGGGGGAAAGTGGCGGGGGTTTGGACTGGATGGCTCCCCACCTTTGCTCACGCCTTACCCCCACCCTGGGGTATGGGTTGGGGGGGTTCCCTTCCTGCCTACTTGCTTCCTCTGCATCCTCTCCTCAAGCTGGGGCCTGGGTTTCATATGGGAGGAGGGTTCCCTGCATGGGAGGCTGCTCTGTGGGGTCCCTCATGGCTGGGAGGAGCTGGGGTCCCCAAAGCCGGCCGGAACACAAGTCAGGGAGCTGGACGGCCAGCGCTCAGGACAGGGGTCAGGACCACTCCCCTCCTCGGAGGTGGGCTTGGGGGCCCGCAGGTCAGCATCCCTCCCGCCCTGCTGACGGCCGCTCCTCTCCCCCCAGCACGCAATTGCCTTCTGTTTGAAGGAGTCGGGGAACAAACCCCCCATGGTAATGTATCCCCCACTCCTGGGTCCCAGGAGTCCCTGTCCCCAGCCCCTGCTGCTGGCCTGGCTGCTCGCAGACACCTCCTCTGCCTCTCGCTGCTGCCCCTCCCCTGCTCCAGGCTGGCCCCCACCATCTGGCTCTGGGACCCCCGGCTTCCCGCCCCCTCGTGGCGGAAACCCCAGGCCTCCCCACCCAGCCTGCATGACCGCTGACCTGGGGGGCCAGCCAGACCTCTGATCTGACCTGGGTCCTCTCCACAGATCCGATACCGCAAGGACCGTGCTGTGGCCCGTCGTGCCCCCTGCTTCCCAACTGTGACGAGCCTCCAGGACCTGGCCAGCGGGGCGGCCCTGGCCGCCACGATCCACTGCTATTGCCCCCAGCTGTTACGACTCGAGGGTGAGTGAATGGCCCAGGCGCATCTGGAAGCCTGGGGTCCTCAGCCCCAGCCCCCAGGCTTCTGTCCCCAGGTCTGAGAGACCAGGATGATGCAGTGGTTATGCGTGCAGCTTCTGAAATCGGAAGACCTGGGTTTGCATCTCTAATCTCTCATAAGCTATGTGACCTTGAACAAGTTTCTAAACCTCTCTGTGCTTCAAAGAATTCTGCCTGTGGCAGGACTGTGTGCCAGGGACCCTGTGAGAATAGATAGAGGCACACTTCTCACCTGACCCCACAGATGCCCGTGGACACAGGGAGAGACAATAAATTCATCTAGAAGTACCTTTGGGATCAGGTGCCCCAGGGAGTGACGGGTGGTTAGACAAAGGTTTCCGAGTTGAGCTCTTGGGGGTGTAGTATTCCAGGCAGAGTCAAAGGCTGGAGGCATGGTCCGTCTTGGTATGCCCCTTGCAGAGGGCACCTGGCACGAGACCCAGCCCATCGTAGGTCCTCAGGTATTGGCTGCTGGGTTTCCCCGGGGCCCCCTTCCTCCTCCCCTTAGAGCTGGGGACCCAGGCCTCCTGTCCCCGCAGAGGTGTGCCTCAAGGACCCCATGTCTGTGGCGGACAGCCTGTACAATCTCCAGCTGGTGCAGGATTTCTGTGCCTCCCGCCTTCCTCGTGGCTGCCCGCTGTCCCTGGAGGACTTGCTTTATGTCCCACCACCCCTCAAGGTAAGGCTGCCTCGGGGGCCTGGGCGGGTGTCCAGGGAGGTATGGCCTGTTCGCTGACCCATTCCCGCCTGCAGGTCAACCTGGTGGTCCTGCTGGCCGAGATGTTCATGTGCTTCGAGGTGCTGAAGCCTGACTTTGTGCAGGCCAAGGACCTGCCAGACGGGCATGGTGAGCTTTGGCCGCTCTCTGGGTGGGGCTGGGGGCCACGCCATGCCTGACCCTCTTTTCTGTGTCACAGCTGCCTCCCCCCGGGGCACTGAGGCCTCCCCACCTCAGAACAATAGTGGCAGCAGGTATGGTCCTATGGGGTGCATCCGTGGGCTTGTCCCCCTCCCCCCAGGGGCTGGGGAGGGGGCGGGAATACCCGGAGGCGAGAGGGTGGGGGGGAGCGGGGGCAGGCGGCAGTTCAGGTGCAAGGTGGGGAGGGGACGTGGCAGTGGGGGAGCGAGGTGGCAATGGGGTGGGGTCCAAGGTTGATGCCTGTCTCCCGGCAGTTCTCCTGTCTTCAACTTCCGTCACCCGCTCCTGTCACCTGGCGGCCCCCAGTCCCCACTCCGAGGATCCACAGGTGAGGAATGGGGGCAGCTTCTACATGAGGGACTCACCCCCAGAGACTGCCCCAGTTGACCTTATGTCTTCTCAATGACCCCTCCAGTGGCCCCGCCCTGGGTCTCGCTGTCACCCCAAGGTGACCCCCGAGACTTCCCCTGTGGCTCCTCAGCATCCCTTAATGATACCAAGGGGCCCCCGGGACCCATTTCTGGAAACTTCTCATCTGACTAGACACATAATGACCCATCAGTGACTCATCTGGTGACCTTGCAGAGGACGCTGACCTCACCCAGGGCCCCAGTGACCCCACAGTGATCATTTGCCCCTCCCCAGGCTCCCTGAAGTCCTCTCCGTCCATGTCCCACATGGAGGCCCTTGGCAAGGCCTGGAACCGCCAGCTCAGGTGAGCACATCTCAAGGGCCTGGCGCCAGTGGAGGAGGCTGGGCGGGGCAGGGCGGAGGCCGGTCTGGGGGCTGACCCCTCCCTCTGGCCGCCAGCCGTCCCCTCTCCCAGGCTGTGTCGTTCAGCACCCCCTTTGGCCTGGACAGCGACGTGGATGTTGTCATGGGAGACCCCGTCTTGCTCCGCTCCGTCAGCTCGGATAGTCTCGGTCCCCCGCGTCCCGTGCCGGCCCGGACGCCCTCCCAGCCGCCCCCGGAGCCTGGCGACCTGCCCACCATCGAGGAGGCCTTGCAGATCATCCACAGTGCCGAGCCCCGGCTGCTCCCGGACGGGGCCGCCGACGGCAGCTTCTACCTCCACTCCCCGGAGGGGCTCTCCAAACCGCCGCTGGCCCCCTCCTACCTGCCCGAGGGGGCCTCGAAACCACTGTCTGATGGGCCTGCCAAAGCGCCCGTCTACGTGTCCCACCCAGAGGCCCCCTCAAAACCATCTCCCTGCCCATCAGGGGAGGTGTTGAAACTACCAGCCCCATCCGAGGGGTCTCCGAAGGCAGTGGCTTCATCCCCCGCAGCCACCAACTCTGAGGTGAAGATGACCAGTTTTGCTGAACGCAAGAAGCAGCTGGTGAAGGCTGAGGCTGAGGCCGGAGCAGGGTCCCCCACGTCCACTCCAGCAGCACCTGAGGCCCTGAGCTCAGAGATGAGTGAGCTGGGAGCCCGGCTGGAAGAGAAGCGCCGAGCCATAGAGGCCCAAAAGCGGCGCATTGAGGCCATCTTTGCCAAGCACCGCCAGCGGCTGGGCAAGAGCGCCTTTCTACAGGTGCAGCCGCGGGAGGCCGCAGGGGAGGCTGAGGCTGAGGCTGAGGCCGAGGCCGAGGCTGAGGCCGAGGCCGAGCCAGGCTTGGCCCCTGGTGGTGAGCGGCCAGCAGGTGAGGGCCAGGGTGAGCCATCCTCACGGCCTAAGTCAGTGACCTTCTCCCCAGAGCTGGGCCCAGTGCCCCCAGAGGGCCTGGGGGACTACAACCGAGCAGTCAGCAAGCTGAGTGCTGCGTTGAGCTCGCTGCAGCGGGACATGCAGAGGCTCACGGACCAGCAGCAGCGGCTTCTGGCCCCCCAGGAAGCCCCTGGACCTGCCCCACAACCTGCTGCGTGGGTCATTCCTGGCCCCACAGCGGGGCCCAAAGCTGCCTCCCCCAGCCCTGCCCGGCGTGCTCCCGCTGCTCGTCGCAGTCCGGGGCCTGGCCCCAGCCCGGCACCTCGCAGCCCCAAACACGCCCGGCCAGCGGAGCTGCGCCTGGCACCCCTGACCAGGGTGCTCACCCCGCCACACGACGTGGACAGCCTCCCTCATCTGCGCAAGTTCTCACCAAGCCAGGTGCCTGTACAGACGCGTTCCTCCATCCTCCTGGCGGAGGGGACACCTCCCGAGGAGCCCTCGGCCAGGCCTGGCCTCATCGAGATCCCCCTGGCTAGCCTGGGAGAGCCTGCTGCCGAGGAGGAGGGAGATGGGAGCCCCCCTGGGGCCGAGGACTCCTTAGAGGAAGAAGCATCTTCCGAGGGAGAGCCTCGGGCTGGCCTTGGCTTCTTCTATAAGGTGAGTCACAGAGGGGACGGGGGAACAGAATGGCTGGGCCAGGAAGTGAGGACACATCTGGGGTGTGTGGGGCCTGGAAGAGGCGGGTGGATAGTTGGACAGACAGACAGGGCATTACTAATGGATGGGTGGGAAGATGGGTAAATAGAGGGGTTGGACAGATGCATGGATAGGTTGTATGGGTGGATAGAAGGGTGGATAGCCAGGTATGAGTGGTCAGATGGGGCTGGGTTGCCAGATAGACACATGAATGGGGTGGGTGGGGAGACAGAGACTAGATGGTAGACAGATGGACAGGTAGTCGGTGGGTAGGTGAAGGATGGGTGGGTGATGGGCACATGGGCAGGAGTGGGTAGGTGGACAGACAGGGCGAGGTCTTCCATGGCACCTCTTCCCAGTGACCAGTTCCTCTCTGTGATCCTGTCCTGTGCTCTTCCTCTTCATGGCCCCTGCTTCCTGGACCATTGTGGTAGCCAGTGCGGTCACCTCCTGACCCATCTCTGCTACCTCCTTCCAATCCCACTCACTTTCCACTGAGCATTCAGCAATTTTGGCTCTTAGGATAAAAGTCCTCCCCACGACTTTGGGCTCTGCTCACCTCTGACCGTGTCCTCTGCCATTCCCTGTGAGCTGTGCATCCCAGCCACATCATCCTCACACCTCTGCTGGGCTTGTTCTGGCCTCAGGGCCTTTGCACTTGCTTTCTCTGAAAGGCTCTTCTCACCCATCACCCCTGCCCAGTTAAGCCCTTGTCATTCCCAGGGGTGCTTCTCCCAGGAAGCCTCCTCAGTGCTCCCAGGGTAGGATAGGCCTCTCCCTGCAGTGTAGACTTGCAGGGCCCCATTCCCTCCTCCTCGAGGTATTCACCTGCCTGGTGCTCCTTGTCTTCTCCGTTGGGTTAAGCACTTGGCGCGAGCAGTGCCACAGTCCTGCCCATCCCTCTGATACCTAGCGTAGGGCAGTGTAAAGTAGGCAGTTAAATCCTTTTAGTGCGTTTATAAAAGATGGATGAGTGGCTGGCCAGCTGGGTCAGTGGAGACGAGATTCCAGCCACGGCGGGGGAGGACTGGCCAGCTGGACTGTGTCTTCTCCCAGGATGAAGACAAGCCCGAGGATGAGATGGCTCAAAAGCGGGCCAGCCTCCTAGAGCGGCAGCAGCGGCGAGCAGAGGAGGCCCGGAGACGCAAACAGTGGCAGGAGGCTGAGAAGGAGCAGCGGAGGGAGGAGTCTGTGAGGTGAGGCTGGGCCCGGCTGGGGGACCCCTGCCTTTGGTTTTCCTGTCCCCAGGGACCCCGAGCCGTTTTGACTGCTGGCTTCCCCTCCTCTGCAGACTGGCCCAGGAGGCCCCTGGCCCCGCCCCTGCAGCACCCACGGCTCCTGTGGCCCCAGTGGCCACCCAGATCCCCGCTTCCCGGGCCCCAGCTGAGGAGGAGGTGGGCCCCCGGCGAGGGGACTTCACGAGACTTGAGTATGAACGCCGGGCCCAGCTAAAGCTGATGGATGACCTTGATAAGGTGCTGCGGCCCCGGGCCACGGGGACCGGGGGGCCGGGTCGGGGCGGGCGGAGGGCCCCCCGGCCACGCTCTGGTTGCTGCGATGACTCGGCCCTGGCACGAAGCCCAGCCCGCGGCCTGCTGGGTGAGGACACTGTGGGGGTGGGGCCTGCCCAGGGCCCTTTCTGGGGCTCTCTGGGGGAGGCCCCATGGATATGTGGGAGGGGGTCTGTAGGGGTGCTGGGCAGGGGTGGGCATGAGTGGTAAGGCCCCCAAGGGGGTTGACCCTGCCTTTGGGAGGATACAGGGGGGCAAGGCCTTCCCTCCGTGGCTGGTGAGGCCCTCTTGGGGGTGTTGGGCAAAGCCCCCTCACTGCGGGGGTGTGGGAGGCCAGAGCTGGGGGCTGCAGAGGGCTGGGGTCTTGGCAGGGCTGGCCTGCCTACACCCCGCAGCTGCTGGGTCAGGTAGATGAGGGGGCTTCAGGTGGGGCTGACCTGTGGGGTCTCTTCCCAGGCTCCAGGCTCAGCAAGATCTACTCTCAGTCCACCCTGTCCCTGTCCACTGTGGCCAACGAGGCCCCCAATCACCTCGGTGTGAAGAGGCCCACGTCACGGTGAGCTCTGGTGGGGTGACTGCCCAAGCTTGTGGGTGTGTGCACCCCCCATGCCTGGAGTGGGGCGTGGCCTGGGTGTGGATGCCCCCCGGGACAGAGGCACGCTTGCGCAGTGAGGCTGGGGCTGCCTGCGTCTGGCCCAGGGCCCTGGAGCCTGCGGTGCCTAGGGATGAGCACGGATCGGGCCAGCCCGTGTCAGTATCCGTGTCCTCTGCGGTGTGCTAGGCTCGTCTCTGCTAACACCTCACTCCTTCCACCCCTTTGCTGCTGCAGGGCGCCGTCCCCATCTGGCCTCATGTCCCCCAGCCGCCTGCCCGGAAGCCGAGAACGCGACTGGGAGAATGGCAGCAATGCCTCCTCCCCGGCGTCGGTGCCCGAGTACACAGGTGAGCGTGGCCCCAGGCAAGGTGTGAGCAGCAGGCTCCTCCTGGCCCCTGGTTGCCCCTGCTGACCTCCTCCCTCCAGGTCCAAGGCTGTACAAGGAGCCCAGCGCCAAGTCCAACAAGTTCATCATCCACAACGCCCTGTCGCATTGCTGCCTGGCGGGCAAGGTGAACGAGCCGCAGAAGAACCGCATTCTTGAGGTGAGCCTGCACCTGCCCAGCTGCCAGGCAGGGGAGGGGTCAGTGGTCCCACCTGGCTGGCTCACGGCTCTCACCACCCACTAGGAAATTGAGAAGAGCAAGGCCAACCACTTCCTGATCCTCTTCCGTGACTCGAGCTGCCAGTTCCGGGCGCTCTACACGTTGTCTGGGGAGACGGAGGAGCTGTCTCGGCTGGCGGGCTATGGCCCCCGAACTGTCACCCCCGCCATGGTGGAAGGCATCTACAAGTACAACTCAGACCGCAAGCGCTTCACTCAGATTCCCGCCAAGACCATGTCTATGAGCGTGGACGCCTTCACCATCCAGGGCCATCTCTGGCAGAGCAAGAAGCCCACCACTCCCAAGAAGGGCGGCAGCACCCCCAAATAGCCCCACCCTGGGTGTGCCCGGGCTGGGCCCCTGAGCTTTGGCCGCCGCCCCCTGGAGGACAGTTGGTCAGTATTCCTGGGTCCTGTCTCCGACCTTGTCTGGGTGGGGCTGGAGTCCTCACCCCCTAACTTTTGAGTCTGGTCCTACTGTGGGGACTGAGCTGGGAGGTTCAGGGACTCAGGGCTCAGCTCAGTCCCCTTGTCTGTCCTCCCCACCTTCTTGAATAAAATAATGTAAAGAGAAGCTGAGCCTTGTCACCTCCCCGAGGTTGGCTGGGTCTCGGTCTCCTGCTCTCTTGAACTAATTCTAGTTTGTCTCTTCTGTCCCCTAGATGGCCCCAACACCCCTCCTCCTAGGGTGTTCAGTGGCCTTTCAGCTGATATCTTGGTGCAGGAGGCTCATGACCAGCTCCTCTCCCGGGGCCTCCTCCGCTTCCCCATTTTCCTCCTGTGTGGCTGTTGTTATTGGCCTTTCCTGCATTTGGTCCAGGGCCAACTTCCAACTCCTCCTGTCCTCTCGCCTCCCCCTGGAGCCAGCCTGCCTGGTTTCTGTGCTGTCGATGCCTGAGGGCCAGGGCCTCTGTGCTGCCCTCCCGAGCCCTGCATCTTAGGATCCAGTTGCCTTCCTGGCATCGCACTAGCCGTCTCAGGTGCAGGCTCGTGTGGCTACCCGGGTCGAGCAGGGCCTGGCTTCCCTGCCACTGCCCAGTCCTGGGCAGCTCACCGCCTAAAGTGCTCTCTGGCCCCATGACCACCCCGAGTCCAATCCAACAGCCTGGACCTCCTCACGTCCCCAGCTGCCTCCTGCCCACACAGCATCTTGTGTGACCTGCTAAAGCAGAAATCGGATTATGTCCCCTGATGCCTAAAACCCCTTAATAGCTTAGAGCCTGCTTGTGGCTTCCCAGAGCTTAGGACTAAGGACCACACCCCGGACATGGCCTGGCTCCTTGCCAGGGACAGAAGCACCTTGCTAATAAGTCCACAGGGCTGGGCCAGAGCCCCCTGCCCCACACCCCACAGCTCAGGACTGTGGAGAGAGCCCCAGGACAGTCCTGGTGAGCAGGCGTTGGTGAGACCTGGGAAGTGGGGGTCAGGTGCTCCCAGGCTCTGGGCTCCAGGAGGCATCTGGGAAGCCCTGACTGGAGGCCTCAGGTGGTAGTGGGACTGGCCATGCAGCGTCCAGAACTGGCTCTGCAGGGTGAGGGCAGGGTGTCTATCTGGCCTGGGGCCCGGCTGCCCCACCTCCCTCACCAGCCAATCAGGGCCCAGGGCCAGGGCGCTCCTGAACTGGCAACTCTTGAAGCACCTAGTGGCAAGGAGAAGGCACAGACTGTGACATAAAAATAGACTGTATTGTGGGGGGTTTGCGGGAGGGGTCAGTCTTCCTTCAGGCTCCCAAACACAGCGGCTGGAACGCTCTGCTGCTCCAGCCGAACCTCTGTGGGAAAGGAGGGAGAGAGGGGGTTACTCCCCTGGAGGGGTTCCGGCCCCGGGCCTGCCCACTACTTGGGTGGTCACTGACCGTTGGGCTCCAAGTCCATCTCGTCCTCGTCCTCATCTTCACCCAGCTGGATCTCCTCGGGATTGGCTTGCTGAGCCAGCTCTGCCAGCTCCTCTCGAGACGCGTCACTCCTGGGAGAGTGGCCATGCTGCTTCAGCAGGGGGCCTCACCAGCCTCCCCCGTGCCTTCCCTTGCCCAGCACAGCTGGCTCCTGTCCTGCCCAGGTCCTCACCTCACAAAAAGAATCTTGCTCTGGGCCCGTGGGGGCTGGTCCCGCTCAGCCTCGGCCGCGAGCTGCTCTGCCCGCTGCTCCAGCAGCTTCATGTCATCCATGCCGCTCTGCCCAGGGGCCAGGTCAGACACTGGAGGGACAGGGGTTCAGACACTCAGTGGTTCTCCCTCAGGCATGTCACACACCCAAGGTCCCCAAGGAGTTCCCAGTGGAGGCGAGGAAGGCCAGGTTGAGCTCTCAGTGCTCCCAGGCCCACAAGGTCAAGGCTGGACGGTGGTACGCTGAGAGCAAGGTGCAGACATGGCCACGGCAGGGGAGTGATGGAGCTGCTCACCTGTGCCTGTCGCACTGCCCGACACCTTGAGCATCTGCGAGGCCATGAAGTTGACCTGTGTGTTATATGTGGCCTGCACACTGCGACGGATCCGCAGCATCTCCCTGATGGTGTCCTCGTTGCCGTGCCGAACTTCAAAGTCCTTCCACGTTTGCCAGAATGCCCCAGTGGTCTGTGGCGGTGGGAGGAGGGATTGGGCAAGGGGACAGGGGTGCATGTATGAGCCAGCTGCTGGGCTGCACCTCCTCAGTGCCTGTTCCTCCATCCCTGCTGGCCCCAGACCTACCCGGGGGTCACATATCTGGGAGCAGAAGCTGTAGATGGCCCTGGCGCGGTCAATCTCGCCGAGTTTGCACTCCATGTCTGCAAACCGCAGGCACATCTCCCGCGCATGCTCATCTGACAGCACCTGGGCGCCGGGAAATCAAGAAGGCAGGCATGAGGCAGAGGGGGCTTGGAGGGATCCCAACACTGTCACCAACAGATTGGGATTCCAGAATGAGGTGTGGGCCCCCAGCCCCCACGTGCAGGATCTTCCTGCCTACCAGGCGCCCCTCATCCACTCAGGGACCCCTGCTGGCGGGTACCTCAATGGCCTTCTGGTAGATGCCACGGGTATGGGTGACACCGTAGATCTCAGCAGCCCTCTTGATGTAGATGTTGAACATGTCATACTGCTGAGCGGGTTCCACAGCCCTGGTGGCACGATCATACACAGCCATGGCATGCCGGGCCAGGCCCCACTCCTCTTCCAGCTGCGCATACAGTAGGTACAGGGCTGCATGATGGGAGGAGAGGGTCAGTAGCCCAGCCCGCCACACCTCCCCAGGCACCAGGGAGTCCACAGCCTCCTCACTTTTAGCGTATTTGGGTGGGCAGCCATCCAGCGCCTGCTCAAAGAGGTCCCGTGCCCGCTCCAGCTTGCGGCCTCCGTAGCGGGCGATGAATTTGGTCAGGTAGGTGCTCCAGATGTCAGACACATTGGGCCACTTGAACAGGGAGATGCCACGCTCGTAGGCCTGTTTCAGGGGAGCAAGTGTAGGAGTGTGCAGGGGGTTGACCACCCTGTCACCCTCAGGTGGTCCTGGGAGGAGGCTGCCAAGTCTCCCTCAGGCTCAGCAAACAGGCCCCTGCCGTCCACTTCACAGCCTGCCTACATACATGCGCTGCCCTGTCTCCCTCAACGCACTGCAGGGATCTAAGGATAAAGAAGTGACAGGTCTCAGGGCTGGGGACGTGGCTCAAGCCGTAGCTGGGTCAAACGGTAGCGCGCTCGCCTGGCAGGTGCGGGGCGCTGGGTTCAATCCTCAGCACCGCATAAAAAATAAAAAAGATGTTGTGTCCACTGGGGGGAAAAAAAAAACAGTGGCAGGTCTCAATATGGTGTCTGTCACCTCTTAGGTGACATTATAGGTGAGGTAGAGGTGGTTCCTGACCTCTGCAGACATTGGTGCCCAGGGTGCCCTCCCATCTGTCTGCTGATGGGCTTCCCAATCACTCTGCCGGTGGAGTGGGGCCTCACACACATGGACACGTAAGAACCCCCCACCTATAACCTGTCCCCTGAGCAATGGAAGGACAGCCACATACTGCTAGCAACATCCTGCCCCATGTACTTGGAGGCAGGACTGCCTGTTAGACGCTGAACTGTGGCCTCCCACATGACCATGCTGACATTCTAACACCCAGAACCTCAGAACACAAGCCTGTTTGGAGATGAAGGCACTAAGTTCAAATGAGCTGTTAGAGTGGCCCTGATCTACTGTGGACTAGTGTTCTTGTAAAAGATGAGGCTGGGTGTAGTGGTGCACATCTGTACTGCCAGCTACTCAGGAGGCTGAGGCAGAAGGACCACAAGTTTGAGGCCAGTCTCAGCAACTTAGTAAAATCCGTCTCAAAAAAAAAAATTAATTAAAAAAGGGCTCGGTGGGTAGCTCAGTAGTAAATTGTCCCTGGGCTCAATCCTCAGTACCAAAAACAGAAGTGAACAGTACACAAATGCACACAGAGGGCTGACACATGAGGCACAGGGAGAGAAGGCATCTCTAAGCTGAGGTGAGAGGCCCCAGAGGCACCAACCCTGCCACACCTCCAGCCTACACCTTGAGAGTAAAGCTGCTGTTCCGAGTCCCCTACTCTGGGACACTCAGTCACCACAGTGACAGCTGAGCACACACACCATGCCCCCCACACTAGGAGCAGCCAGTCTGGGACCTCCATGTCCGTGTGCCCTCACCTTGAAGCTCTCCTCAAAGTACTTGTGTTCCTCCAGGAACATGGCGTAGTTGATGACGATCTGAGGCGTGGCTATGCGCAGGTCCAGGATACGGTCGTACACAGCCTTAGTGGACTGTGGGGAGAGGCAGGGGTTGGGGCATGCTCCAGGCTGGGCAGTCCCCACCGCTCTCCCCACGGCAGCTGACCTGGAAGGTGCCCAGGCTCTCCTCCAGGTCGGCCAGCATCGACCACACCTTCAGGGACTTGTACACGCGGTTCTGCACGGGCTCTGAGCCATCAAAGTACTCAGCCCTGCGTGCGGGCAGCGCTGTCGCCTTCTGCAAGGGAGATGGCAGCAGTGGGAGGGGCACTCAGGGGTTGTCCTGCCCACTGCACCCACCGGTGACCTGCGCCTCTCCTCACCCGCAGCAGCCGCAGGGCTTCATCATAGTTCTCGTGCCGGAGCTCCAGTTCCCCGCACTGGCACCACACACTTGCCAGGTCATCCACCTGCTTAAAGTTCACCTTGGTGGCCTTCTCCAAGATGATGCGGGCCTGTCAGGGACAGGCAGAGGACAGGCTGGGACCCTTCAATCTCACCACCCCACCATGAGAGTGCACGTGCAAGTGTACCCACAGATGAGGCTGTGCTCACACCCGCTCACACGTGCACACCAGTATGGCACTTACGTCGTCCAGCTGCCCGTTGTCCTCATAAAACTTGGCAAATGCGACCCACAGAGTGTGGGGCTTGCCTGTAGCCTTGAAGGGGTCCACCGTCTGCACGGCTTCCGTATAGGTGTTGATGATCTGGGGCAAGAGAGTCAACCAGGCTGCTGGGGCGGGCCCTATAGGTGAGGGTGGGGCGGGCTGGGGCCAGGGAGTCAGTACATACCTCCCGAGGGCGGCCCTGGTGCAGGGCCACACGCTTGTGCCACTCATGGACGTGGTGTGGGTTCTGGCGCAGCAGGACACTATTGAGGAGCAGGGGCCGCCGGCTGATGAGCTGCTCAAAGCG